ACACAGAAGTAAGTAAAACTACTTCCCTTCCTTTCTCAACCCTCCTTTTAATTTCCCTTTCCTGTGGTAACCAGGATTACCAGTTTGCTTTTCCTACACACTCTTTCAAACCAGCCAAATAGCCCTAAAGAGACTTATAGCTGGGTCAAATTGGAAGTGGGGGTTGTGGCAGAAAAAAGTACCTCCGTGTAAATTTGCTTACGTAAAAAGAATCCTTCTCATTAATCAGGTACATTTTTTTTTTAAATCATAGGGAACAGGTTCTGAAAAGGTCCCTTACTACCTCTAACCCAGAATGCAAGTTGGTTTTCTTCCGTGAATTGGATGTGCGTACACTTTTCTCTGCATTTGCTCAAATTGAGCCCTTTACATGATCATTCATGGACTGTGTGGCTTGAGGTGAGGCGGGCATGCAGCTGAAGTCTAAGGAGAACCCCTCAACTTTAGTTGCAGAATCACTCACCTTTGAGCTGCTGTGGTCTCTGAGTGACAGGTTAAGCTCCATTTAAGTTTATTAACTGACTAAATACATTTTCTCTTTGTGGAACATTCCTTAAAATTGTCCCCCTTCCCCAAATGTAGCTTTTTAGTTAACTGTTATCTTTTAGGGATATGTAGTTATTCTGGGTTTGAGTGTGTGTGCTTGTGTTTGTTAGAGTTTGTCGAGGGTGTGTTCCTTTTTGGGTTAATGGGCCTTTCCACTACTCTACTAGAGTAAAAGTAAATGCCAGTGTTTAAGGTAAGCTAGATGGATACCAGGGAACACTCCTTGGGGAGCAGTGTCATATGGGAAGTTTTGAAGATGAAAACATTGCCATGATTTGATATATAAGGACCGAAGGGGCAAATTGGGGCAGAATCCCATTTCTAAATTTTAGGTAAATTTGTGGTGTGGAAAAATTCTCAAGTGTAGAATATACTGGTAAGTAAAGGTTGTGTGGAATATTATGCTATAGATCCTTAACATGTAGCAAGTTCCTGGTACTGTTGGAAGTTTAAGAAGAATCTAAAATGGTAGTCTCAGTTCATTCCCACTTTTTGGGGAATGAAATTAAAGAGCAACAAAAAATGAAGATCATCTGTCTTGTGAGCCTGGGCATCCTTTTAAGGGTTCTGAATTCCAGGAGCTGCTTTATGGGGTCGGGGGTTGAGAGGGGAAAGTCCTGTCAGGAGACTAAGATAAAACTGTGGCCTGGAACAGAGAGCCTTGCTTCGTGCCACTGACCCTGGCTTCAGGTGATTGGAGGAAACTTAGTGTGTCCCCATGAGTCGTTCAACTCAATTCTCCCAATTCATTTCAATTTACTTAATTAAATTAAAACAATTGACTTGGTTGCTAACTATGTATTGCCAGGGTTAGGAATGTTCTGGAATTCTAAGATCTAACATAATAGCCACCATCCCACACACTTATTGAACACTTGAAATATGGCTGGTCTGAATCAAGAAGTGCTCTTGATATGAAATACACACCAGATTTGGTACAAAAAAGAATGTAAGATATTCCATTGATATTTATTGTTCTCATTGATTACATGTTGATAATATTTGGATATATTAAGTTAAATAAAATATATCATTAAAATTAATGTCACCTATTTTTTTCCCTTTAAAAATGTGGCTTCTAGAAATCTTAAAATTTCACATTTGGCTTGCACATTTGTGAACTGCATTGTATTTCACAATGCAATTGTGTTGGATAGAACCATTCTAGGGTATTTAAGGAACAGTATCTGAGTAGTACAACAGGATAGCGAATTTGACCCTGTGGGACGTTCTCTGGGAACATCAACCCTAAATCACTCACACAAATCCCCTTGTTCTGAAAAGAGGGAGAGGCTGCCAGAGACCATAAGCACCTGTTTCTTTACCCCACCTTCATCTTCCTAAAACTTCTGCAGTCTTGTATAGTTTAGTGTGATGGTGATATTTATATGGAAACATTAAAAAAAAATTAACTTTAGCTTTTATTCCTTATTTGGCCCAAAAAGACAGGCTCTGTCGCAACAATATGGAAGAACTTTGAAAGTTTGTGTAGTTTACTGTAGACAGAAATTGCTAGTGAAGTCTAGAGTATGAGGTGGAATCGGCAGGGTGTAGCCTGTGACATGGGTGGTAATTGAGGAAAACAAAACATGACATATTTGAAGTGGTATCTGTAGGCGGTACATGGGAGTGACTGTGGTGCCCCCAAGAATGTGGAAATAAAGGAAATGCAATTGCCTTCTGAGAACTCGCTATAAAAATTATGCAAACACCTAAAAAGCACAGTCCCAAATTCAAGTACCTATGCAGGTGATTAAAATGAGAAACGTGGGCCTAACTTCAGGACTGATATTTAAGTCCCCATCTATGGAAGCAGCCAGAATTCTGTTCATCTGTTTTCATGATGTACATGCCTAGTATTATGAAACCTGATTTTTAAAGAGATAACTAGATATTTAAATGCTGGCCACTTATTTTAAAAATTTAATCACTTTGAGATCTGAACCAAATAACTCTAGTCTTAAAATCAACAAATTTCCTTTGTTTGCTTCTATATTTACTGAACAACATTTTGATCACATTTTTTTTACTGAAAATCAGACTACTGAGGGAATTAAGTACCATTCACAAGCACTGACAATATTTTAGACACTAATGCTTCTATCCCAATGCAAGACAGCTGTGACTATCAGAGAGCTTGACTAATTCTCAGGGTCACAGAGCTAGTTTGGAATTCCAGCCTACATGCCTGTTCCCAGCACCTCTACTTTGTCACTCCAGGTACGTGACAGCTGGTCAGAGTTCTGGTAAATGAAATATTTTCAGGTCCGCCAGTAAGAGTGAATTTATACTAATATGCAGCCTATGGACCCCTTCTGTCCCTCTTCTCCCAAACACCACCCTGAGCCCAGCACGAATATTTGGGTCTCTGTGACAGTTGTATTTGTCACTGTGAAGTAGTCAATTGGTATGCCGGCAATTCAGCTCTGTGATTTGGCTAATTCAAGTTCATCCCTGAGAGATGGATCCTCACATTGAACACTAAGTAACTAGGTTTCTAAACCTGGGAGACTGACAGCTAGATCAGGCAGTTGGTAAATTCACCTAAGAAAATGCCCCAGGTGAGCCCTCTGGGCAACAGCACCTGGTTTCTAGAGACAGTCCCAGTTGTGTAATGATGACTTTAGCAGAAAGCATAATTTTCAGTGATTTCCAGTTTCTTCTTTATAAATTTATATTAATGGGGGGTTGGGGGGAGCTCCATAAAGCTAGTTTCAGTGTGGAAAAGAAATCCAACCTAAGCAGCAAATACAGCTCTGTTTAAGTGAGTTCGATTGGAGATGCGTGGTCTGCTCTGAACCTGGGGGTTCCACCAATCCTCCCACGAGGAGCAGAAACCTTTATGAAAATCACACCATGACCTACTCAGGGGTTCATAGTTGTTGGTTCACACTGAAAACATGTCTTAAGGTGATTCCTTTCCAATGGAAATATCTGAATCCAGTTAAAAAACTCAAATGAAGGCTATGGATAGATTAAAATACGGCAAAAAATACGCAACCTGTTAACGGAAGTGGGCAGGTTTGTTCAAGTGGGCAAGGAAGTGGTCAGATGCCGTGTGAGTGAAAGTGGACAGAGAGGTCAGCCTCAGGCTCCCTAAGAGAAACCACAGTGATCACTGACGTCCACCAACAGCGGCTTGGGGAACCCAAAGTCACACCTCTACGTTGGAGGAGATTTTACCCATAAAAGTGAGTGCATCGTTTGAATGAGTTGTTTGGTCATTTTCGTGTAGTCTAGTTGCAGCCTAGATTCTGGATATTGTAGGTTCCTGTTCCCTCGACATATTTTATTCCTGGAAAGTGTATTATATAGAAGTGAACTGACAGAGGCAGATGGAGAACATGCTATGAAGTTCAAGTTCAAGACCATGTCTATCCAGTGACTGCAGCAGGGATCTCTGCATGAACAGATGCAGGGAGCTCCTATAAATTAAATTAATGTAAGACGTAGAATTCAGGGCTTATCTAGACTACATATCATAGGGGATTGGCTGAGTGTCTACAGAATTTAAGAAGCCCTCTTTTGCTACTGGTGGATCCTGACACACTTTTCTTACTAGGAAATAAACTAAAATTGTGTCATCTGATAGGAATTTGGAGATAGCCACAAATCAGAATTTCATGTTAGAGTATTTTTTTTCCAAGTCACCAGAGATAGTAACCCTTAACAGCAAGAGCTGATTTGTGGGGGAGGGAAGAGATACCGCTCTCTGAGCTCTTTACCAAACTTTCAAAACAGAAACTTTCCCTGTTCTTGGCCTTTTCTCTGAGGCCTCATGAAACCAAGAACCAATTTATTCCTGTTGGTTTTTGGAAAATTGATATTGAGAATATCGTCTAAAGTCAAATTATTTCAAGAAGGTGGAAGTTCCATCTATATTCATAGATTTTTTTTGCTTAATGCTTTTTTTCATGACTTGTTACATACTGGGTGTGTTTTCTAATGAAATTACTAAAGCATTAAATTATTTAGTCATCACAACCTCCCTGCGAGGTAGTATATCTCATTTAACAGGAGAAGAAACTGGCATAGATAAGTTACATAACTAGCTCTAGGTTAAAAAACAGTAAGTGTCAGGGTTGGGATTTGAAACTAGACACTGGAGAGCAACTTGAAGACGCGAGATTGTCTCATGTCGCACCAAGAGATTGTTTAGGGGTGTCCTAGGCAAACCAGGATTTAAATTGTGCTATGACATCAGGAGGGATGCGGGATCTCCAAAATCCATACTATCATTTGGTTGTAACAACCGGACCTGAAAGATGAACCTGTAAGAGTTTCTTTGCGTGGGTCTTCTAGTGAAGCACAAGGGGTTCCAGGAAGCTTTCCGAATTCATTCGATTATAATATTTGATAATTAGCCCCCACACTCCTTCCTTTGCCACTGTTGCTGCCCAGCATAGGAAAAGATAGAGGCTTTCTAAGCACCCAGCGAAGCCAGCACTTCTCACCATATTTCAAATTCCAGATTGGTGCTGTTGACGTCGGGGTCGTCAAAAGTGCAGTTTAGCAGGTGCTGGGACCCATCCACCTCCAGCTGACTGTAGCAGGAAAACGAGTAGTCGGGCTCTGCGTCTTCCAGGTCCCCTGGGGAGCAAATGTGCAGCTGTTAAGGAGGCAAATCAGTGCAGGATTCTGAGATCTGCAGTGACATTAATGAAGTGGCAGCCCTGGGGCAGACATAAAGAAGTGATTATAGCCCGGCCGGGGGTGCTCAGCGGTTGAGCATCGACCTAGGATCCAGGCGATGAGGGTTTGATTCCTGGTCAGGGCACATGCCCGGGTTTCGGGCTCGATCCCCAGTCGGGGGCGTGCAGGAGGCAGCCGATCAATGACTCTCTCATCATTGATGTTTCTATCTCTCTCTCTCCCTTTCCCTCCCTCTTTCTGAAATCAATAAAGATATATTTAAAAAAAAAAAAAATTCGTTGAAAGAAGTGATTATAGTTTATCTAAAGAAGAAAAGCCCAAAGGCAAAGACCAGAAACAGTTTTCAAACCCAAACCAAACAAACAAAAAACAACCCAAATCAAAACAAAACCTAATGGCACAGATTTTTCTAATAGAAAAAATAAGAATCATCGCAATTAAGAAATAACCTCCAACCCTATCCGGTTTGGCTCAGTGGTTAGAGCGTCGGTCCTCGGACCAAAGAGTCTTAGTTTCCATTCTGGTCAAGGGTACTTACCTCAGTGGCAGGTTTGACCCCAGGCCCCAGTTGGGGTGAATGCGGGAGGCAACCAATCAACGTGTCTCTCTCACACCGATGTTTCTCTCTCCCCCACTCTCTCTGAAAACAATGGAAAAAATATGCTTGGGTGAGGATTGAAAAAAAAAAAGAGAAAGAAAGAAAATAACCTCCAAATATTTCTAAATATTTCTGCCATTAGGTTCGTGCTTTAGAGATATAGGATGAAGCACTAGTTTGTACATTTTATGTAAGAGATACTTTCCATATCCGCATGCTACCTTTATTACAAATCTTCATTTATTGCCCTTGAGCATTTTTTTTGAGTGAAGGAAGATGATAGAAGTCTTACAGTCAGAAGTTCCCTTTTTGAGGGGTAGCTTTCCCATGCCTGACTAGGCGCTCCAACTGAAAGCACCATTGATGATCTCTGTTGTGTGGATATTTATTTAAGGTAATTTGTCTTAAGCTATGAACTGAGGCAAATGTGATTAGGAAAAAGTTACTCTGACAAGACTTAGATCTCATGGACTGTCCCATAAATCTTACAGATGCTGCTTCTGTGCATAGATACTGTGCTTCCTCTATAGATCCCTGGTATCTCACAGATAAGAGCACATTCTGAAAATCATGTTGGGGAACCAGACACTTTTTTGCCGTCACTTTTGGAAAGTTCAGTCTGTCACAGATAGTATTTCATTTCTTAAGTTGGATTGAAGCCCCTAAGTTTAAATGAACATTTGTATGTACATTTCACAATATCTAACAGAGAAAAATCTGTCAGCAAATAGACTCAGACCAGAACGTGAGAAAACCCAGAGTAACCAAAGCCATTCTGAGCGCTTGCATGTGTGTTTCTGATTGCTCGCAGGTCCGTCTAGAAATTAGATGCTTCTAGGGCTTTAAATCGGATATAAAATACACTAAAATTGAAGCCCAGTGGAGTGTCCCAAAGGGCCATGAGATGTACAAACAGCACTCCCCTCATTTAAATAGCCCCGCAGGTCTGTGGGGAAGTTAGTAAAGCCGGTTGTGAGTGGGACAACCAGCTGAGAGACAGGTCGGCTCAGGCCAAGCCACATACCTGGAGACGTCAACCCAGACAAGGGCTGTGGGCACCGCTTGCTCTGAACAGTCCTGGGGTCCACCCAGCACGGGCCGCTCATGCCGTGTCTGCAGGGTTAGACCCCCTCAGCGCAGTTTTAAATAATGAGGGGCAGCCCTCGCCCAGGGCTCACGAAGCATGTCCGTTCCTAATCCTACAGGCTTAGGTCTTGGCTCCTGTGAGCGGGGACCTTTCTCAGTGGGAAGGTTCTGGGTAGTTTTTACCCGCCTGTCTTACAGCCAGTCCTCACGGTACCTGGATGTTTTCCCCTCTTTGGACCTTCCCCTCACCCGATACCACAGAACCTGTATTGCTGTTTGGACTCAGACATCTATGAATCAACTCTGTCTCCAAAACACTCCAACATACGAAGCCACCCAGAGAGGGAACAGTGCGGGAGATGCCGGGCGTGGGCAGCCAGACACTGCCCCGCCCTCAGCCCTCTAGCCTGGCAAAGGGAGTTGACTGCACATTTTCATACAATATGCAGAGCACTGGCCATGCCATTAAAGTGGGAAGATTTTGAGATGCGCTCACTGACTCTTTAGCAGGTATTACTAGGCAAGAAAAATCCCCCTCAACGACTTGCAAAATTGCATCATTTTACAAAGAGAATGCTATACCCGATCTAAGCTGAAAATTTCTTAGGTAAGAGCAGTATACACAGTGGTTAAGGTCCCCAACACCAGAGCTGGACAGACGTGGGTTTACATCCTGGCGTTTCTGCTTTGGAGCTGTGGTCCTCTGTCAGGTGTCTCAACCTCTCTGAGCCTCAGTGCTCTGGTAGGTAAATTCATGTCATTATGAGGTGCAAATACAAAGACTTGGCTTACAACAGAGGGAGCACGCGATAAGGGTTAGTATGACTATTATCGTATGTTCCTCTTGAGAAATAAGTAATGAAAAGGTAAAATAAGAATTCTAATTCTGAGAATATGAACGTGCAACCTTTGGGGCTCCTTTGAAAAAGAAGAGTAGTTCCGTGTTAAAGGCGTTATTACTGTGGCCTCAAAATGACACAGAGCTTTTGAACAACAGTGAGTTAACCTCTTATTGTTTAAATTCTCATTATCTAAGCATATTTTTTCATATAAAAAAATTTCTTTTGGAATGTGTATTATAGATAATTAGTGTGGTTTAGAGTCTTCCCACTGAAAGGAAGTAGTTGATTAAGGGTGCAAGTGGTTTGGATTTTTTAAAAGTAGCCCTTTCTTCTGGATCATCCTTGTGGTTCTCGGAGAACTAATTTATCTTTCAACAAACAGCAGCTGGTTCGTTTATACACCAAACTCGGGAGTATTTCGATGTGACCACGTGGGTGGGTGGTCACAGATCTCCTAAAAATGCCTGAAATTTAAAACATTGAAGTGAACACTCAGCTTTCAATTAGAATTCTTATTTCTTTTAAAAATAATACGGCCCCCCAGGGAGAAACAGAGGGAATATATTACACTCCAAAGAGTAAGATTTATGTGTTACTTGCCACGCATCTCTGTGCAAAACACAAGGCAGCATTTACCATGGAATAATGATCGTCCCCCACACAGTGACTCATACACGGTCACACGGAAAAATGTCAACCCTCTGACAAATCCTGTAATGAAAATATTCTAGGGACTTCCATCTTGTAGTTACACAACTTAAAATATCTCAGCTGAGTCATTAGGCTGATGTGTTTGATAACTTTGATAGGAAAATACTTTTTAGCTCTTAAAGTGAAAGAGTTCAATTTTGAGGGGAAAATTGGTGGTCCAGCTTCCCAGGGAGCCCTGCCGCTGCTGCTTTATCTTTGTCTACAGTTTTGTTGTAATTACAATGTATTTACTAAGTAGGCAGCACCCGCTTCTAGGTACGAAATACTTCAAAGATTCCCAAAGACAACTATTATATGATAGTAAATTTGTTGATATGAAGACAATTAAATATATCTCAATGAGACAACTCACTCAGATCTTTCTCCAATGTTACTTACTAAGAATCTCACATAAATCTATCAAAACAAGTATTTTAAATAAATTTTCAAATACTGTAAATTTAAATATTGTAATTGAATGCCCACTGTGTCCTACGCACTCTTTTAGGTGCTGGGGAGGTAGCAATGGTAAGTGCAGACAAAGCTGTTGTTTCTAGACATTATTTTATCATAAAGTTATGTTTTTGAAACCTCCTAAAAAGCTAAGCAAAACAAATCTAGCTCGATTTCTCAACAAGATAGAACCGACAAGCTCAACCGTTGCGTCTATACGGGTGTTCGACCTTTTTGTGAGAGCAGACGCATGGACAACATTAAGATCCACACTTGGAGAGTCAAATGAATTTCTCTTGACAGTTCCCAGACTTTATAAACCACTCTCAGGATTGTCCCTCAGCACCCAGTCTTGGTGTTATTAGAACACACACAAAAACTGAATACATGGCAATTTCTCCATTCCAACCCAGTGCCTGGCTCAGGTCTGCTAGGGAGCAATCGAAAAGCATGTTCTTGAGATAACCTGAAATCCTAAAGAAAAGTTCGAAATGACTCACCGTTCTGTGCATAGCCACTTTCTCCTGAAACGACTTGAAGTAAAGAGAAGACAATACCGAAAGCTGTACCTGGAATTGTCATTCTGAGAGAGAGAAAGGGGAGAGCAGGCGTGCGAGCCCACGCGCAGGAATGAATGAGAGAGAAAGCGGCGAGCGCCGGTGAGACAGGCACTTAAATCCATAGCTTTAGGGCTTTATACTCACTTAACCACAGACAGGGGGAAGTATAAACACGGCCAAAAAGAAGGCCTGTGTCAGAAACAGGAAGTCAGAGTAAAAGTATTGCTGCTCTAAGCAGAGATAGAGGAAATGAAGTAGAGCATTTGAAATTGTACTTTTCTCATCTTTCTGGCAGCCCCAAGCTCACTAGGCTTATTTAAAAGTCATGTGGGGGATTCAAATGTAAACTCAAACTATTTCAGGTTAGGGTGTGGACAGGGCTTATTTTAAAAGAGTCATGGACAAAAATCTAAACCTCAAAAGCTGATCAATTAATTGTCAGGGTGAGTTTTGATTTAAAGGAAGACTCTGCACTTAATGAAGTAATTTAGTGCAGGTATAGGTTAAATGGTTCGCCTCCAATCTCTGAACATAAAGAGGTTCATAAGAAGGGCAATTCTGTTTTTTGCCCTCTCGGTAGCCACAGTAATTACTTAATTTTCACCCATCAGAGTTGGCATTCAAGAGTTACTTGCTTAATTTAGGAGTTGACAAAGTATGGCCGAGGGGCCAAATTTGGCTTGCCACCTGCTTTTGTAAATAAAGTTTTATTGAAACATGGCTGCTTTTGCGCTACAGCAGCGGAGTTGAGTAGCTAAGACAAAAACTGTATGGTGCGCAAAGTGTAAAACCTTCATTTCACTGTTTGGCCCTTTATAGAAAAAGTTTGTCGATCCTTTGTTTATCGGATAAAATAGTTATTCTCTCCGTGAATTGAGAATAGGATTCTATTTGTGAAAATCTGATTGCTGCACACCTTTCAGGAGCACATGGTCCACGTAAGCTGCACTAGTATCTCCATAATGCCTGGCAGAAGCCTGAGACAATGAGACAGGATTCAGAGTCGCCCTACTCTGTCTACCAATCAAAATTGTTCCCAGAATGTCCTCATGTCCTCATGATGTCCTCTTGGCCATCGGATTTTTGTTTTTAAGCCATTATTACTGTTGGAAGGCACAGGTTAAGAGCAGTCCTGAATTAAAAGACAGGAACTCCTTGTGAGGGGCATATTACTGTTCATTAGCTGAGTAATCTAACCCGAACTTAGGCTATAGAACTCTACCCTCTTGATTCACAGGGTCTCTCTTTTGGGAAAAAAAGCCACCCAACTAAGACTTTAAGGTATTGAGGACACAGATGCTGAGTGGGCAGTGGGTTATGAGCTTCTGTTTGATTTACTGTTATTGGGTAGAATGGGCCTGTGAAAATGACTAAATTAACAAAGATAAACAACATCCCCAGAGTGTAAAACAGAATCTTTGAAAGCTGCATGAGTTAACGTCATCATTACAGTTATGTGACAATCTCAGAACGAGAAAGGAGGTGGGGCACTTGTACCGGTCTGGGAACCTCTCCTTAGGGTTGAGGCAGACCCAGTGACAGAGATGGGGTGCCCTGTTTATAATGTCACACTCCGGACTCTGCACTCAAGGGATGTGTCAGAGCAAGAAACCAACTGAACAGGACATAATCTTTCCCCTCCCTCTGCTGAAGCTTTTTTTTTTTTTTTTTTTGCATTTTCAAACATCTTCCAAACCAAATAAAGAGTGACAGTTTTGTGCATCAGATAACAATTTGTGTCCTCATTTCTAATATTGTTTTGAAAGCTTGGTGAGAAAATCAGAAGCCTGATTCACAAAACTTGGTATGCTTTGTGTATTGAGCTGAATATCCTTTCAAGAGAGCTACGGCCCCAGCTGGATGGCTCCATTGGTTGGAGCGTTGTCCCATGCACCAAAAAGGTTGAGGATTTGAGTTTCTGTCAGAATGCATACCTAGGCTGGGGGATTAATCTCAGGTCAGGGCAAGTACCGGAGGCAACCGATAGATGTTTCTCTCTTACATTGATGCTTCTCTCTCTCTCTCTCTCATATCAATAATAAAAAAAGAAAGCTATAATTGTAAATTTCCATAAACTAAGTAAGTGTTCAAAGAGAAATCACAAATTGTATCTATCACCATCACAGATCTCATGAGCTGCTCACAAGCTGTCACTCCATGAGTGAATAACTGGGTGGTGTCTCTTTAAATTCTCTTGTTTATCATTTAAGTGGACTATCCTTTTGATTGTATCTCTTTCCTTTAGTTGTGAAGATGTAAAAGAACAAAGCCTAGACACAATATTTTGGTACAGCATGTGCTGGTTTGCTCAGGGGATTTCCACTGGTGTGCTTGCTCTCTTGGGTGGGGCAGGAGATGCCGAAGGACCTCAGAGAGAAACCTCGATAAAGCATGGGGAGCTCAAAGGAATGAGAAGGCTCGCTGGTCCTCCTAGAGGCGAGGGGGACAATGGTGCCTTCTCTACTTTCTTCACCCGGGTCTCCTTGGAACCGAGGAAGGACAACCTCGCTCGCTCCACCCGGCCCCCAAGTGAGAGGCATTTACTATACTGGTCATTATTGCTCAGAAGAGAAGTGGAGAGATCAGAGAGACAGATCAGGAAAGGCCCTCAGGACACCTGAGCCCCAAGCTGTGAGATCAGGAATGAGCACTGGACGGTGGGCGACGCAAGTCCTTCGACCCGGCAGCTTGGCTGGATCATACGTCTCCTCTCATCGCTCCCTTCTCTCTTCTGTCTTTTATGTCTGGCCTTCCTTTAGTTTCGTGAGTTGCTATGAAGCGCTGAATCATAAAAAGGAAAGGCGTTTAATTGTTTCTCACGTTCAAGCAGCACACAGAGACCTGCTAAGACTCCCAGTTCATCACGTCTCTCCAGTCTTGTGATCATTCAGACCACTTGTTAAACAGACAAAACACATAAAGATTTTCTTTTTCTTTTCATACTGGACTAAGTTACGTGCCCTTTGTCTATAACTGGTAGAGTCCTAGAGAGCTCAGATAAGTGACCTTGCAGCTGGATTTGAGATCCCAGACTGTTGGAGTTGGAGGAGTTTGTGCTCTCTATCTGATTTTTTGTTGTTGACTTGGTAAAAGTCTACCCAGGAAGGCCCATGTTTTTCTCTTTTTTTCCCAATCAGTAAAGGACAAAAATTTCTCTGGGCAAATTCAGGCTGAGCATCTGAACTTATTACTAATCTTCACCATCTGGACTCTTCTCTTAGGAACAGAAATTTCATTTTCATCCTTGACAGAAATTATAAAGTTAGTGGGACAGATACTAATGCATTATCTTTGTCAGCACCCGTAGGAAACAAACTGTTTCAAGAACAAAACTATTTCTCTGGGTTAGTTTTTAGATAAAGCTTATAAAATAACCCTTAAACATTTAGTAATTTGTCTTAAGTGAGAAAGATTTAAAAGTTACTCACCTTGAGATTGAATACTGAAGGACTATAAAGTGAAACAACTATACAACAGTAATAATAATAAACAGTATCTGTTGCTATAGGACTATCCTGGGCAAAATCTGATGTTTGAAAACTACTCCAAAGGTTCCAAAACATATTTTAGGAAATCTGTATTAACTGCCCCTCCTCCTATGGTCATTTACCTTCTTTAATTAACAGTTAGATTTGATCCATAACATAGAAAATAATCTTGGGCCTCTGTCTTCTGCTGGAAAAAAGAAATGCAGGCCAGCTCAGTGAAGTGACTGGGGACCCCCAAGAGCTGTGGGAAAAGAAAAATAAAAACAATCAAGGTGGTCAAGTAGGTCAGGTTGGCTGTAGGGAAACCTAATCTTAGTTTAGTTATAAATGAATCTTTAGTATTTTATCAGTGGGTGCTGAGTCAGTCCCTGGGGCTGGCTGTAAGGGGGAGTCCCAGCATCATGAAGTTTCATTTCCAGGAGCATGGTATTTTCCTTGTTGTGGCTCTTCTTTCATTTCCCTTTCCTCCTACCCCACGTCTTCAGCCCCATGTCTTGCTGGTATTTGGGTTCTTTATGGGCAGAGTTTGAAATGTCATAGCTGGTTTGCCTCTACAAGATTTTAGTCTTGGTATTTGTATGCAACAAAAATGGAATCTTTGAGAGTCAACTGTTCCTTCTTTGTTGAAGACATTTCTGCCAGAAATGGAGTATTTTGAAGTCAGGACATGCCCAAATTTTGATAAAAATGTAAACAGGAGTGTCTATCCTTGGGGCAAGTGACATGTCTTTTGGTGATGGCTGCAGATCCCAGTGAAGCAGCTGGAGCGGGTGTAGGTCTATAGCCCAGAGTTTTCTCTGTCAGGCCCTTCCCAGAAGACTGTTCATGGTAGGATCCTGCTCATAACCCTGATGTCAGGCACAGCCTCTCACAGAGAAAAAACTGGCTTAAGTGAGACCATCCTGGGCCCTGGCCCACGGCCTGGCACAGGTTTCCTTGCCTTGGGGTGAGCTCCTATCCTCCTACAAACCACTTTCTAAGGGACCACAGGGCTGATTGCCACACCTGCATTTAAACCCATACAACTGGGAAAATTGGTAAAAGCCCCCAATTCTATGTTAGATGTTTCCCCCGCCCTCTTAGAAGCCAGTATCTTTGTGTAAATCAAGTCCCTGAGAGCAGTATTGGTGTCCCCTAACTTCCTATCCTAAATATGCAAAGTTAACATTAAGAGTGACCCTGAGTGATAATGCTCATGGAATCGCCACAGAAAAACAGCATGTTTTCCTAAAAAAGAAGAAATAAGAGGTCTGTTTGTGGCCAGACTACATGACCCTGGGCTAAGTCACTTCCAGAAACTTTTCAAGAAAATGGAAAAATATTATCTATTTTGTAGACCTTTGTAAACCTTTGACTTATCAGTCCCAGTAGACTTTGGAATTTAATATAGACTTTTTTGTTGTATTAGTTGGGTTATGCTACTGAAATGAGGAGACCCAGAAATACAGTGGTTCTAACAAAGGTGCAAATTTACTGTTCTCTCATAGTAGTTGATGCATGGGATAGGCAGATCCATGAGTTTATTTCATTAGTA